GCCAAGCCGTTGAGAGCTTTATAGGCTAGTATTCGAATTGTGCCCGGAAACAGACAGACAACCGGTGCTAGGGCTACGGGGTCCCTTGACGGGGCTCGCCTCCGGTTAAAAGGGTTGATCTCGCCCTCTCAGGAGCAGCGCACCGCCTTAACGGCAAAGTGAGCGGGAACCTGCTGGTGGGACAGACGCCGGTCCACTTCAGCGACGTCGACCTCCACGCCTACATCGTCGGCAACGACGGCCGGGCGTACGTGGCCATCAGCCACATCCCTCAGCCGGCCGCCCGGTCGCTGATGCCGTTGACCCCCATCGGGGGCCTCTTTGGCTGGCTCTTCGCCCTGGAGAAACCCGGCTACGAAAATGGCTTCAGCCTGACAGGTGGGTTTTGAGCGCCGCCCCTGGGCCAAAGAGGTTCAATGCTTTCCCTGCGAACGTGCCATGTTTGTGGCTTGCGGTTCCGGGTACGACCCGCTCAGTCCATCCGCCTGCGTTGTGGATGGAGTGGTGCTGTTTTTTCAGGATAGGTTTTAGTCGTTCGTGAACGAGGAGCTGACCAACGAGGAGACGGACAGGGATGAAGGGATGCTCCGTATCCGGGGTGGCCCTGACTTCTACCTTCTGGCCTCAGGTGGGACGGCGGGAATCCTATGTTCTCACAGGTGGTCGAGTGACATATAAAGCCCTTAAACGAGTCAGGATCGAGTGACTTAAAGAACTCCTTGCTCCATTCTCGACTCGCCTATGATTTAAAATCACCCAGCGGGGAACGGCTTCTGGTGCCCGGGACGACTGCAGCCCTGAGAAATTTCCACGCAGAGCAGGGCCTTCTCGGTGTTGGCACCGCCGTTCTGGAATTCTGCACTATCAGAGGTTTTCGTGTCCCGGACAAGTTTGTTTGGAAACATCTTATTGGTATAAGCTTGTTAGTGGGTGGTGGGTGGTAGAGAAGGCTTCGTGTCTTTTTATTGACTGTGGCTAAATTCCCTTGAAATTTCCCTTGAAATTTTATTGACTGTTGCTAATTTCCCTTGAAATTTTATTAACTGTGGCTAATTTTCCCTTAAAATCAAGTTACAGTGGGCACCTGTAACTTGATTTTAGCTATCTGCAATGGGTCGTTGTAGATTTATCACTCAATACATTTGTAATTTGGGGTTTTAGTATTTTTTAATATATATATATGTAAATTGTTAGATGGGCTGGGGTCATATGAAGAAGGGTGAAGGTATAAAACAGTTTAAATCAATCCATCAAAATAGGCTGGGTTTTATTCACTCCTCAACATGGAATCTGGGGGAAAATAATCTTTGCCTCTCAAAATACCAGGAATTGGGCCTACCTTTAAATGCTGTTGTTTGACAAGCGTGGGGTTTTCCGTTTCTCTTTTTCTCTCCCAAATAGGTGCTAAATTCACTCACACTTTTGAAGTCACTTTCTATCCTGGTGAGGAAACAGTTTTCGTCAAGCAAACGGCTGATGGGCTGGATTCTGAAAATTACCTCAGCATTAGGACAGAAATCGAAGGACGGGTGCCTTATATTCCTGAGAATTTTACTGTCCTCGTTGCACCTTACAAGGAGATCTACCACTACACAGATTCTGGTATGTGCTTGAGATTCTTTGAATTGATTTCTCTGTGTATGGCCTTTGATTGCTGGCCCGTTGGAAGCTGCTTGTTGCCGATGGCTTTCACCATGCTTTGCAAGTAATTTATTAGCTGTGCGCATAACCCTGAATTTCACACCCCATATGTCACAGAATCTTAGAATCCCAGAATCATGGTGTTGGAAGGGGCCTCAAAGAACACCCCCCCTCGCTCAAGGCAAGAATTCAGATCAAAGGAGATTCATACCCCACATCTTGCAACAGGAAAACCCATCATTTGTGGCTTGCAAGTTGTTTGACAAGCTCAAACCGGGAGATAAACCCTCAGTGCTCCTGAACCGAGCAGTTAGAATGCTGGTGAACATTCCGTCACACCACAGCCAATCAGATGCTGGATAAAAAGCAAGGCTTGTCGCCAAGATGAGTCAAGATCTGAACCCTTTCCAAGAAGACAGTGTAAGAACTCCTCATTATGTAAAACAGGAAAGGGCAACGTGGCCCTCTGATGTTCGTTTTGTTCTCTTCCGCAGTTGTGATGTCCACATCGTACCGGGAATATTCGGTGAACTTTGGAATCGTCAACCAAACCTTCTCCTACCGGCTGCGCCAGAACATAACTTTCGAAGAGTGCCCACATGCCCGACGCCGGCGGCTGGTCCCGGCTGCTCAGCAGCTGACGGTGGACAGGATCTTTGCTTTGTATAATGAAGAAGAGCGGGTGCTTCGCTTTGCCGTCACCAACCAGATCGGACCCTTGGGAGGTGAGTTCTGCCCCAACGGGATGGTCTTCCTTGAGCCGGTCATCCGAACTCCCTTCGGGATCCAACTCAGGTTGTGAGCAGAGTATGAGCCGCAGTGCTGCACTTTAACCACCGTGCCAGAGGACTGTGGAGAGCGAAGGGCCAACCGCACCATGCTGGGCGGGGGTGCCCTAAGGTGGCCCATTATAGAAATCTTGGGGGGGGGGTGCGAGCTTCAGAGCTTGCGAAAATTCCTTTTTCTTTCCCAGGCGATCCCTTGAAAGAACCTCAAACGGACATTTCCCCCTTTGAACATCTGGATCTACGTGCTAGACTTTATCTTAATTTCTGTCGAATGTTGTTTTCTTGGCTTTGGCCACCTTGAGCTTTAGGCTGCAAAGTTACCTTTCTCTTATTTTTCGAGGACCTCCCAGCACTCTGGGGACAGGGGGGTTAGAGCTTTTCCAACTTGCCAAAGACGGGTGTGGAAGCTTCTTTAAGAGGATCTTCCTGGGACTTCTTTCTAGTAAAGGAAGAGAAGCAGGGGTGGCACCTGGAAGGGTGTGGCCTCTTGGTCCTACCTCCATCCTCTTTACCTGCAGAACACCTGAAGAAGCTTGATGATTAGTGCCGCTTATGTGGTTTTTTTATTTATTTTTTTGCTTGCATCAACCTTTGCAAGAAAGGGTCCATCCTTCCGTTACACCTAGCGATAGACATTTAGTGCACTTTGGCATGGTTTGGTGGATCGGGACCACAGGCGTTGTGCGGGCACCCAGGATTCCATGCCCCGCCTCCTCCTCCTCCTCCTCCCATGGTCGCCCCATCAGAAGCCCCGCCAGGGCTTTCCCCGCCCCACCTCCTCCTCTGAGTGGCCGCCTGTAGGAGGGGGCGGGTCTGGAATCGTGGGTGCCTGCACGACACCCGTGGGCCCGATCCACTGAGCCACACCGAAGCGTGGTAAGCACCCATCTCATCTTAAATCATTGTGGTCATCATCTTCATCATCATATTGATTTGTTAGGCTACCTGTTGCTGCAACCTTTCACGTAGCCTTTAGTGAACCCCTGACATTTTGCTTGGCATTTGAAGGCCAAGAAACATGCTTTTTAATTAAAAATAAAAAAGTGGGAAGGAAAAATGAAGGCTGCACTCAGAGCTCCTTCCGCATCAGCTTCTGCTTGTTTAAAAGTACACCTGAAACTCAAAACCTGGGCCCTGAAAGGCTGCCTGTCACACGGAAGGCGGAGCAAGCTTTTTTCCCTCTGACTCCAGAAGGGAGGATCTGGACCAGTTACTTAAAACTGCAGGAAAGAAGGTTTCTTAATGGAACATTAGCAAAAATTCCTGATGGCAGGACCTGTTCAACGAAGGATTGGATTCCTTGTGGATTAGATCCCATTGGCATCGGGGGTAAGACTAGATGACCTTTAGGATCCCTTCCAACTTATCAGTAAGATGATCCTGGGAATAAGGCTTCCCCCATGTTTTGCAACATTTTGGTTGGTCCTAGGAAAAAAATAATTACTTTAATATTGATTAGGGACCTTCTTCCCGTGATCCAACACAACTGTGCTATTTCCCCCCCTAAACTCCTAGCATTATCATATAGTCTTCAACTTCACCTTGTATGTTAGAAGCTTTCCTGCATGGAGACAGTGGCATACCAGAGAGATGGGTGAGTTAGAACCATTCTTCCTGAAATGCTAGTTTTCTACATGCAGGTGACACTCAGAGATGTAGAAAACTCTCCAGTATGCAACCTTTTTTCTGAAGCGATGTGATCACTCCGTGGAAGGGCTTCCCTGTGCAGTTTTGCTGGGCACGTAGCTCGGTTGTGAGAAGAATAACAAGAAATAGGACTTCCTCCTCTCATTGAGAACTGCAATTCCTGTCTTCTAAAAGTGGGGAGACAGAAGCGAAATAGTCAGAAATAGAAAGCCAGAGACTTTCCAAAACCGGAGCTTTATCTTTGAAATAATGGATGGGTGCTTTTGCTCCATCCCTAAACCACGGTTTCATTTTAGTGCCGGAAAGCTTGTTGCAGGAGTGATATTTGGATGGGAAAAACAAGGATTCCAGCACTTAATTGCAGGTTTGTCCTCCCCCATCCACATTTCCTAGGTTTCTGGGAGATAACCCGCCCAAATCACTCTCTGCTCGGAGAGATCCAGGCGGTTTAATGGGACTCCCTCTTCTTCCCTGTGAACACCATAAAGTGATTTCCATGTGCACAGGGATGAGAGCCAGGAGGACTCACCTAAAAAGTCAGGGTGGTCTTATCCTGGTTTCCCTGACAACCCAAGTTGCTCTGGGCTGTTTATTCTCTCCACCCCCCTTCCTCTTTAAGCGATTCAATGAGTTCCAGATCTTACAGTTCAGCAGTTTCCAAGCAGTTCATCATGGATGGTTCAGGGACAAGCAGCAAAAGACCAAGGAGATGAGATCTGGCTCTGTGGGGGAGGCAAGCAATTTTACGGGACATGATCCGTCAGCTTAGC